GGTGAGGGCCCTTGGGCTGCATCATCCCATTGTGGAAATGTGGAAGGGCAAGTGAGTACATGCAAAAGATAAAAGCAGGAGGGGCTGAGCTTGCTTTGTAACAACTCACCCAACAACTAACCCAGTCCCATGATAATAGCATTACTTCCTTTATGAGGAAGGAGCCCTCATTACCTGCACACCTCCTATTAAGCCTCAATTCCCAACACTGTTGCATTCAGTGTTAAGTTTCAACATGAGTTCTGGAGGGAACATTCAAATGACAGCAATCATCTACTGCTATGTGTGGACTTTGTTTGGATCTGATATGAGCAAACCAGCTATTTAAACGTTTTCTGTAATAAAATTTGGATATCAGGTGACACAAAAGGTTATCAGTAATTTTTGTTAGATGTCACACGGTCCAGGTATGTCAGAGATTGTCTACATTTGGCAGGAATGCATACTCAAATGTCCAGAGTGAAATTTCTTGATATATTTTAAATACTTAATCAGAAAAAGGAAAATAAATGAAGAATGGTGGCAGCATCTTGACAATTGTTGAATCTGGTTTGGGGAGATGGGGGTGTTCATTATACTATTCTTTCTACTTCTTCAATGCTGGCAATTTTAAATACCAAATTAAAAAAAACATAATAAAGGAAATTTTTACTCTCATAACTAAAAAGTTTAGAAATGGGGTAGATATCAAATGAAGCTTCATATAGTCAATATCATCAAGGATCCAGTTTCTTTTTAATTTCCCCTTGGCTTTTAATGGTGTTTGCGTCATCCTGAGGCCATCTCTTCTCACGGTGCAGGGACCATCTATTCCGGTTTACTAGACAGTCTCAGTTACATCTATTGTCATAACATAATTATTTATAGCACTATCTTTCTCTCAAATGTGACCTTGTTTTGGATGATAAATTAAATGGTCACCCTAGTTTATGGTTGTCAAAAGACTGCCAACCCCAATTAGGGCTTCATGCTTCTCTGTTCATGTTCAGCTAAAGAGAGAAGCTGCTGTCCCCAAAATAACCAACAAACCTTTCTTATAATCCCAATGTCCCAGAAGGGCAAAGTGTGCATTCATGAAGCAGACATCATGGCTAGAGTGATGGGATGCATTGGTTGGCTTAGGTCAATCACCACCCTGAGAACAGGGGACAAAGTCAATGGATGGGTTCTTGGTTGGTGGAGCCAAGAGGGATTAAACGTGAGGAAGAATCCAGTTAAAATCACTAGACGCCTCCTTGCCATATGTTCTGCCACTGCCCTAGTTTAGGGCTCAGCATCTCTTAGACTATCGCAAAAACTTCTTAGCTGATCTCCCCGCTTCTGCCTTGGCCACCACAGTGATCTCCTTAGTACGTAGATCTGATCATGTCACTGCCAGATTCGACATTTTTTGATGTCCTGCTTTCACCTATCAGATAAGTCTAAATGCCTTTGCTTATTACATTAAGCTGTTCAATACTTGGCCTTTGTCTGGCTATCTGTCCACCCTCATCCATCTTCAGTCTCTTCTCTATACTTTAAGCTTTAGCAAAACAGAATGACTTGTAGTATTGTTTACACAGAAGGCTGTGGCACACCTTGTTTCCGCAAGCCTGCCTCATTCTGACCAGTTCAGCAAATCTGGTTTCATCCTCCCGTTGTTATCTCGATGCTGGCTTCTCTGACTCCTTTGAACATTTCAGGCCCGTTTTTGGTGCGCAGTGCACTTTGTCATTATCAGTAAAGCATGACATTATCAGACCAGGATAATGGTTGGTGGATTAATTGAAAAACCGATTAAAATCTGAGATCATAACAATATACATATTTTAAACTTTTTTTTTTTTTTTTTTTTTGAGATGGAGTTTCACTCTTGCCACCCAGGCTGGAGTGTAATGTTGCAATCTTGGCTCCCTGCAACCTCCGCCTTCGGAGTTCAAGCGATTCTCCTTTCTCAGCCTCCGGAGATGCTGGGATTACAGGCACCGGCTACCACACCTGGCTAATTTTTACATTTTTAGTAGAGACAGGGTTTTATCATGTTGGCCAGGCTGGTCTCGAACTCCTGACCTCAAGTGATCTGCCCACCTTGGCCTCCCAAAGTGCTGAGATTACAGGTGTCAACCACTGTGCCCGGCTCACTTCAACCATTTTATGTTTTTTGTTTTTCTTTTTTATTTCCTTTTTTTTTTTACATCATATATATGATATATATGTCACTTTAACCATTTTTTTACATCACTGTTTCTCAATCTTTTTTTTTAAGTTATCTCCAGCCAAAAGCTTTTTTGGACTTTTTCCCTAATAATACTCCCTATACCCACATGAAACTTTAGTGTCACACAGACACACTGGATATCTATTCACATACTCTATGTGTATATGCAGGGCTACAGGGCCAAGGCCTTTTATTTGGATGCGGTTCCTCTGGTTCAGTTCTGCCTTGGATTTCTTCCCCACTGATAACCTATTCTCTATGATTCCTAATTTGAGTTTGTTTAAAATGAAGGTGGAGCAAGATATTTTTTAAAAAACGTACAGAATCATAGTGTTTGTGATTCTCTTCTGATATTCACCATTCAACAGCTTTTTCTCTTTTTTTGAGACAGAGTTTCGCTCTTGTTACCCAGGCTGGAGTGCAATGGCGCGATCTCGGCTCACCGCAACCTCTGCCTCCTGGGTTCAGGCAATTCTCCTGCCTCAGCCTCCTGAGTAGCTGGGATTACAGGCACGCGCCACCATGCCCAGCTAATTTTTTGTATTTTTAGTAGAGACGGGGTTTCACCATGTTGACCAGGATGGTCTCGATCTCTTGACCTCATGATCCACCCACCTCGGCCTCCCAAAGTGCTGGGATTACAGGCGTGAGCCACCACGCCCGGCCGCTTTTTTTTTTATTATTAATAACTTGGTTTTATCAAATATTTCCAAGGCATTTCATTTCATTTTCATAAAAACAACTATTTCTTCTCCCACAATTACACTTTATCACTATGCAATGTTAATCAGATTTTGTAATTTTGAAGACAAGACAATTGGTTGGGGATCAACACAACTGTTGGGGGAAGGAGGCAGAGCTAGTGAGAAAATACTCAAGGAAATAAACCGTAAAGAAAACAGTAACTGACAATATCGTAAAAGTTACTCGGTATCAAGCACAGTTCTGAGAGCTTTGCAAAAGTGAACTCATTTAATCCTCACAGGAGAGGTGCCATTATTATCACCTACTTTACTAATGATGGAACTGAGGCACGGAGAGGTCAATTGTCTTTGTCAAAAGTCCTTTCAACCAATAAATTTTTAACACATTTTCTACTGAGGTGTTTCCAAGACATATTACCAATGCAATCTGCCTTTCTTTTACAAAGTCTATTGAACATAATGCAATCTGTCTTTGAAGTGGCATAACTAATAAAAGTAGGCCAATGAAAATTTAATGTGGCCTCCCTTTTGGGTTTCACAAAAAGTATTTTTCTTTGTTCTGTAGAAGCCAGGAAAATGAGTTTTGCTAAATCAGGAAGAGATCTGTGTGGGGGAGAAGAAAGGACTTCATTGCCCTTTTTTCCATCCTTTCTTTGTGAGGAGGATGAATTTACCACAGAACCAAAGGCTGGGAACTGAGTAATCTTTGTGGATGAGATTTTTCTTTAAAATTGGCTACATCTGTAGGAGTGGACGCCTGAGGCAGCAGTGGAAGGAGGGCAGTCAAGTCCACAAGCAGCCAGCCACCTGCTCTCAAAAGTTTGGGGTCTGAGCTGAGATGCAACCCTGCTAAGTCCATCTCACCTCCACCCTGCTATATTCTCCCCTTCCCGCTTCTTCTCTTCCCCCTTTTCTTGGCTTCTGCTCTGAAAGCTTCTCTCCAGTTCCTGATCAGGGGCAGCAGCTGTCCCAACAGGAGCTGAAGCTAACCTGGGTCTTGCTCCAATTGTTCATTTGTTCCAGGCCAGCAGCCTGCTACTGCTAGGGCCCAGCTGCTAGGGTATGCCAAACTCCAAGGACCCAGAGACCTTATTTGTATGTTTGACTCTATAGGTCCAAGGCCTAGCATCGTTCCTTATACCTAACAGATACTCAATAAATATTTATTGAGTAAATAAATGAGTGGAAGAATGACCTGTAAGCCCTGATCCAATTTATTTGCCTAATTTACTAGTGTCCCTCATAGTTGTGGATCCGTTTAACAAAAATTAATTCCTGTAATGTGATTATTTCGCTGAAGATTCCTGGAGTATTTTTTACCCATTCCTATGAATCACCTTCTTTCATCTCCTTGCATTTGTTTCCAGTTGAAATTTATGGCATTTCCTCTCTTCCGTCAAAAAAAAAAAAAAAAAAAAAACACACACACACAAAACAAAAAACAACGTACCCATTCTTTCTTTTTGTTTGTTTTATTTTGAGATAGAGTTTCATTCTTGTCGCCCAGACTGGAGTGCAGTGGCCTGATCTTGGCTCACTGCAACCTCGCCTCTCGGGTTCAAGCGATTCTCTTGCTTCAGCCTCCCTAGTAGCTGGGATGACACACATATGCCACCCCACACGGCTAATTTTGTATTTTTAGTAGAGACAGGGTTTCTCCATGTTGGTCAGGCTGGTCTCGAACTCCCAACCTCAGCTGATCCACCGGCCTCGGCCTCCCAAAGGGCTGAGATTACAGGCCTGAGTCACCGCGCCGGGCCGAACCCGCCTTAATTAGCAAAGCGAGCGCAGTCGGCGGGATCTTCCAGAGGAAACCGCCCTAACTGGTTTGTCCCCACGGCTGCCTCGTAGGTGGTGTTGCGGAGCCTGGCGTCTCTCCGGCGGCACCGCCGTGGCTGCCCGTGGTGTCGTCGCCCCTGTCGGCGACGGGTGGCGCTACGCTGAGTACTTGCCGCCCTCCGCCAAACGTCCCGACGCCGACCTGGACCCCCATGGACTGCTGAGTCCCCCGCCCCTCCCTGACTCCGGGCTGCCCGGGTCTCCTCCTCCGGGGCCCCCCTAGTTTCCGCTTCAGCCTCCCAGCGCCTCCCCCTTGAACCTTTGTGCTCCCCGCATTCGCTCCGCCGTCTGTGTCCCCCGCTCCTTGTTCAGCGGAGAGACCGCGCTGTGCTCGGCCTCGACGACTGGGTGTGGAGGACGGAGCAGTTCTGAGGCCGTGTCCTCAGGGAGCCTCCAGTCTTGTCTGCGCACGAAACGGAGAAATACGGTAGGACGAGCGCTGCGTGGGGATTTCCTTTCTCGAGGGAGGCCCTGCCCCCGTCTTGCAGGGGACGCGGTGGGAGCAGGGACGCTTCTTGGAGAAAGCCGTGGTTAAAAATTAAGATCTCGGCCGGGCGTGGTGGTTCCCGCCTGTAATCCTGGCACTTTGGGAGGCGGAGGCGGGTGGATTGCCGGAGCTCTGGAGTTCGAGACCAGCCTGGGAAACACGGTGAAACCCCGTCTCTACTAAAAATACAGAAAATTAGCCGAGCGTGGTGGTGGGCGCCTGTGATCCCAGCTACTCGGGAGGCTGGGACTGGAGAATCGCTTGAACCTGGGAGGTGGAGGTTGCAGTGAGCCCAGATGACGCCATTGCACTCTAGCCTGGGCAACAAGAGCGGAAACTCCGTCACAGAAAAAAGAAAATTGAGATCTGAATGAATACAAGCAGATCACTCAGCAAAGAGAAGGAGAAAAAGTGTTTGAACACCCAAGAGTAGTCTCTCCAAAGTCTCAGGCACAGAAACAGGGCCCAGTTGGAAACAGCAAGTGGTGTATTCAGGATGAACTGGAGAGCTGGGAAAAGTAAGCGTCCCACATATGTATTTTTACTGTGGCCCATGTATGTTTTCTGTAGCCATGTTAAGTGAAGAGAAACTGGTGGATTTAATTTTAACAATGTGTTTTCTGTAGCCATGTTAAGTGAAGAGAAACGGGTGGATTTAATTTTAACAATGTATTTTCTTTAGCCTGATACAGGCACAGTTGCCTGATAATATTTCAACATTCAGTATAAAAAATGGCTCGGGCCTGTAATCCCAGCACTTTAGGAGGCCCAGGCAGGAGGATAACTTGAGGCCAGAAGTTGGAGGCTAGCCTGGGCAACATAAGAGACCCCATCGGTACAAAAAATAAAAAATAGTAGTTTAGTTGGGTGTGGTAGTATGAGCCTGTGTTTGTAGCTACTTGGGAGGCTGGGTCTGGAGGATTACTTGAGCCCAGGAATTTGAGGTTATAATGAGCTATGATTTCGCCACTGCACTTCAGCCTGGGAGACAGAGCCAGGCCCTGTCTCCAGCGAAGACAAAAATAAATGGGGCAATAGAGATTTAGAAAATTCTAAGTAACTTGTTCAGGATCATCCCTGGTAAGTGGCAGATCAATTATTCCAAATGCTACACTTTTTCCACTATGACTTGCTGACTCCTTAGAAATAAGGATTTCTGGGTAGTGTTCAGTGTATGACATAGCTGAACAAGATTAGATAGAGGCCGGGCGCAGTGGCTCAAGCCTGTAATCCCAGCACTTTGGGAGGCCGAGGCGGGTGGATCACGAGGTCAACAAATTGAGACCATCCTGGTCAACATGGTGAAACCTTGTCTTTACTAAAAATACAAAAAATTAGCTGGGTATGGTGGCGCGTACCTGTAATCCCAGCTACTCAGGAGGCTGAGGCAGGAGAATTGCCTGAACCCAGGAGGCGGAGGTTGTGGTGAGTTGAGATCGCGCCATTGCACTCCAGCCTGGGTAATAAGAGCGAAACTCCATCTCAAAAAAAAAAAAGATTAGGTAGAGATAGTCCTTTTGTGGAGAGTTGTAAAAATCCCAGTATCAGACGTTCAAGGTAGTTGGGAGGTGTGGTAGTTGGAAGATAGAACTAGTATTGGTGATTTTCAGGTCTATAGGTGTTTTTAATTGGAAGAGGAAAGAGTTTACAGAATCCGGCATATCAGCTAGGAAACATCTTTAATAGTGCAGGTACATGAAGGCTAAAGTGTAGGCCAGTGATTCTTAAACTGTCTCCTATAACATCCTGAAATCCTGAAGGAAGATTCATAGACAATAAAATATACCCCTAAACATAACTTTTAGTAATCAATATAATGCTTTAATTGAGGCATAAAGGTGAAATGTTTTATTAGAAAATAACATGTCTACAGGCTATGTGCAGTGGCTCATGCCAACACTTTGGGAAGCCAAGGAGGGAGGATCACCTGAGATTAGGAGTTTGAGACCAGCCTGGCCAACAGGATGAAACCCCATCTCTACTGAAAATACAAAAATTATCTAGGCATGGCAGCACACGTCTGTAATCCCAGCTGCTTGGGAGGCTGAGGCAGAATTGCTTGAACCCAGGGGGCAGAGGTTGCAGTGAGCCGAGGTTACACCACTGCACTCTAGCCTGGGCGACAAGAGTGAGACTCCATCTCAAAAAAAACAAAAAACAAAAACCAAACATGTTAAACATGTCGACAGTTTAAGTATGTAAATACTTAAACATTACTACATTGGAACACATACTGAAGTAGTTATTAGTTGCTGGCACGTTGCACCAATTCATAGAATCACTGTGTATATGACAGCTACCAGTGCGGATCATCAAATGTAATATATTGGCTTTTCAAATAGCAGAAGCACCATTGTCCTTTACAAACTTATTTTCCTCAAATGGCAAACAATTTCTGGTAAAAATTTGAACAAAACAGTGGAATCTCCCTCAAATTACATGGCAGCTGCACTTGTGGAAAATTCAGTCTATACTAAAACAGTGTAATAATATTTATATATTATAACGTTCCGGACTAAGATTATCATAAACTTTTCACCTACTTAATGTCCAGTGGCATCTTTTAAAATTGAGGGATGCAAACAGTTCTTTGTTATACAGGATTGCCTCATGTATTTTAGGACTTCTAGGATCAATAGTCGCCTATCAACCGGATACCCTCCCCCCTATTCAAATTATTATGCAACCAAACAGGGCCTCATGTATTTTCAGAATGCGCCTGAGGGGTTGTTCTGCTTCTTGTGGGAATTATTGGTCCAGGCAATGACCAATAATGAGGCCGAAGATAAGATTGTTGATAATAACTTTAGGAAACTTGAAATACTGAAAGCAATGAGAAGCTGACAATGTTAAGTATTAGGAAAGGAAAAAATGGCCGAGGTGTGGGGCATATTTGGCAATCTTACTGAAAATAGAAAATAATGTTTATCAATAAGTTAAAAAAAACCTTTCATACTATATTTTAAAAATGTAATTCATTTTCAGGTTTATGAAATATGTCTTGTTGGGCTCAGCATGGTGGTTCATGCCTGTAATTCCAGCAATTTGGAAGGTCAGGCGGGAGAATCCTGTGAGCCCAGGGGCTCGTGACCCTGCCTGGGCAATATAATGAGACCCTTGTCTATAAACGAAAAATCAAAAAGAAATAAATATATCTTATTTATTTATTTATTGTACTTTAGGTTCTGGGGTACATGTGCAGATCATGCAGGACTGTTGCATAGGTACATACATGGCAATATGGTTTGCTGCCTCCATCCTGCCGTCACCTATATCTGGCATTTCTCCCCATGTCATCCCTCTCCCCTAGCCCCCCCAATAGACCCCAGTGTGGGATGCTCCCATCCCTGTGTCCATGTGCTCTCGTTGTTCAACACCTGCCTATGAGTGAGAACATGCAGTGTTTGATTTTGTTCTTGTGTCAGTTTGCTGAGAATGATGGTTTCCAGATTCATCCATGTTCCTATGAAGGACACGAACTCATTGTTTTTTATGGCTGCATAGTATTCCATGGTGTATGTGTCCTATATTTTCCTTGTCCAGTCTATCATCGATGGGCATTTGGGTTGGTTCCAGGCCTTTGCTGTTGTAAACAGTGCTGCAATGAACATACGTGTGCATGTGTCTTTAGAATAGAATTATTTATAATCCTTTGGCTATATACCCAGTAATGGGATTGCTGGGTCAAATGGAATTTCTATTTCTAGGTCCTTGAGGAATCGCCACACTGTCTTCCACAATGATTGAACTAATTGACACTCCCACCAGCAGTGTAGAAGTGTTCCTATTTCTCCACATCCTCTCCAGCATCTGTTGCTTCCAGATTCTTTAATGATCGCCATTCTAACTGGCATGAGATGGTATCTCAATGTGGTTTTGATTTTCATTTCTCTAATGACCAGTGATGATGAGCATTTTTTCATGTTTGTTGGTCTCATAGATGTCGTCTTTTGAAAAGTGTCTGTTCATATCCTTCTCCCATTTTTGAATGGGTTTGTATTTTTCTTGTAAATCTGGTTTAGTTCTTTGTAGATTCTGGATATTAGTCCTTTGTCAGATGGGTAGATTAGAAAAATTTTTTCCCATTCTGTCAGTTGCTGGTTCACTCTAATAGTTGTTTCTTTTGCTGTACAGAAGCTCTGGAGTTTAGTTAGATCCCATTTGTCTATTTTGGCTTTTGTTGCCAATACTTTGGTGTTTTAGTCCTGAATTCTTTGCCTGTATCTATGTCCTGAATGGTTTTGCCTAGATTTTCTTCTAGGGTTTTTAATGGTGTTAGGTCTTAGGTTTAAGTCTTTAATCCATCTGGAGTTAATTTTAGTGTAAGGTGTCAGGAAGGGGTCCAGTTTCTGCTTTCTGCACATGGCTAGCCAATTTTCCCAACATCATTTATCAAACAGGGAATCCTTTCCTATTGCTTGTTTTTGTGAGGTTTGTCAAAGATCAGATGGTTGTAGTTGTGTGACATTGTCTCCAAGGCCTCTGTTCTGTTCCGTTGGTCTATGTTTCTGTTGTGGTACCAGTACCATGCTGTTTTGATTACCGTAGCCTTGTAGTATAGTTTGAAGTCAGATAGCTTGATACCTCCAGCTTTGTTCTTTTTGCTTAGGATTGCCTTGGCTATGCAGGCTCTCTTTTGGTTCTGTATGAAGTTTAAGGTGGTTTTCTTCCAGTTCTGTGAAGAGGGTCACAGGTAGCTTGATGGGGATAGCATCGAACCTTAATTACTTTGGGCAGTATGGCCATTTTCACAATATTGATTATTCCTAACCATGAACATGGAATGTTTTTCCATTGTTTGTGTCCTCTCTTATTTCTTTGAGCAGTGGTTTCTAGTTCTCCTTGAAGAGGTCCTTTACATTCTTTGTTAGTTGTATTCCTATGTATTATATTCTATTTGTCACAATTTGCGAATGGGAGTTCGCTCTTGATTTGGCTCTCTGTTAGTCTGTTATTGGTGTACGGGAATGCTTGTGATTTCTGCACAATGATTTCGTATCCTGAGACTTTGCTGAAGTTGCTTATCAGTTTAAGAGGATTTTGAGCTCAAACGATGGGGTCTTCTAAATATTCAATCAAGTTGTCTGCAGATAGAGACAATTTGACTTCCTCCTTTGCTAATTGAATACCCTTTATTTCTTTTTCTTGCCTGATTGGTCTGGCTAGAACTTCCAATACTATATTGAATAGGAGTGATGAGAGAGGACATCCTTGTCTTGTGCCTTATTTCAAAGGGAATGCTTCCAGTTTTTGCCCATTCAGTATGATACTGGCTGTGGGTTTGTCCTAAATAGCTTTTATTATTTTGAGATATGTTCTGTTGATACCTAGTTTATTGAGAGTTTTTAGCATAAAGAGCTGTTGAATTTTGTCAAAGACCTTCTCTGCATCTATTGAGATAATCATGTAATTTTTGTCTTTGAATTCTGTTTATGTGGTGGATTACATTTATAGATTTGCATATGTTGAGCCAGCATTGCATCCCTGGGATGAAGCCTACTTGATTGTGATGGATAAGCTTTTTGATGTGCTGTTGCAGTCGGTTTGCCAATATCTTATTGAAGATTTTTGCATCTGTTTTCATCATGGATATTGGCCTGAAGTCTTTTTTTTTTGTCGAGTCTCTGCTGGGTTTTGATATCAGGATGATGTTGGTCTCATAAAATACTTGGGAAAGATTCCCTCTTTTTTGTATTGTTTGGAGCAGTTTCAAAAGGAATGGTACCAGCTCCTCTTTGTACATCTGGTGGAATTCAGCTGTGAACCCATGTCGACCTGGACTTTTTTTTGTTGGTAGGCTAGTAATTGCTGCCTCAACTTCAGCCCTTGTTATTGGTCTGTTCAGGGTTTCAACTTCTTCCTGGCTTAGTCTTGGGAGCGTGCAAGTGTCCAGGAATTTATCTATTTCTTCCAGGTTTACTGGTTTATGTGTATAGAGTTGTTTGCAGTAATCTCTGATGGTAGTTTGCATTCTGTGCAATCAGTGGTAATCTCTCCTTTATCGTTTTTCATTGCATCTATTTGATTCTTCTCCCTTTTCTTTTTTCTTTTGTTTTGAGATGGAGTTTCCCAGGCTGGAGTGCAACGGCGGGATCTCGGCTCACCGCAACCTCCACTTCCTGAGTTCAACCAATTCTCCTGCCTCAGCCTCCTGAGTAGCTGGGATTACAGGCATGCGCCACCGTGCCCAGCTAATTTTTGAATTTTTAGTAGAGACGGAGTTTCACCCTGTTGACCAGGATGGTCTCGATCTTGTGACCTTGTGATCCACCCGCCTCGGCCTCCCAAAGTGCTGGGATTACAGGCTTGAGCCACCGTGCCCGGCCCCCTTTTCTTTTTTATTAATCTGGCTAGCGGTCTATTTTGTTGATCTTTTCAAAAAACCAGCTCCTGGATTTATTGATTTTTTTTTTGAAGGGTTTTTTTGTGTCTATCTCTTTCAGTTCTGCTCTGATCTTAGTTATTTCTCATCTTCTGCTAGCTTTTGAGTTTTTTTTATCTTTAAATGACTTTTTCTTAGGTAAACTTCCCATTAGAAACTAAGAACTAATGTTCATTAGCCTGTTTAGGAGATTGAAATAATTTGGCAAAATATGTAGTATCGTGAATAAAATAGCATTTTACAATTAATGGTTTAATAGTAAAAAGTTGTGATCAAACTTTGCTCTAGCAAAGCTGGTTCACATGGAAAAGTAGAAAAGAAACTTTTAAGTTAAAAAGAGAGTATTATCACATTTTAAGGTAGTTTGAACAAAACTCAGTTTGTATGAAGTGGTAGTCTTTTAGCTTCCATTACTTTCCTGAAAATTGTAACTCCTGTTATTTTATTTTTCTTCAGTTTTTAAGTTCAGGGTTACATGTCGTAGATACGTGGGTTTGTTATAAGGTAAAAGTGTGCTGTGATGGTGCGCTGCACAGATCACCCTGTCACCTAGATATCAAGCCTAGTGTGCGTTAGCTGTTCTTCCTGAGGTTCTCCCTCCTCCCACCTCCACAACTCTTGTCATTCTTAGGATAGTGTAATATGTAAAAAAAAACTACACACATATATGTTTCATTATAAGCAGTCCTGATACATGAAAACTAAGGCCGGTCAAACACACAGATTATCAAGCATTTATTCATTACCAAAAATACAATAAGGCTGTAATTATTTTGCAATTATAACATGATTTAAAACATATTTTAATAATACTTTGAAGCTTACATTGGTAATCACATGGATTATTTACTGTATACCTATATTTTTAACTTTTTTTTTTTTTTTTGAGACAGAGTCTCATTCTGTCAGCCATGCTAGAGTGTACTGTAGTGGCACGATCTCAGCTTATTGCCACCTCTCCCACTTAGGCAAGCGATTCTCTGGCCTCAGCCTTCCAAGTAGCTGGGATGACAGGGGCCTGCCACCACACCCAGCTAATTTTTATACTTTTGAATAGAGACAGGGCTTCACCATTTTGGCCAGGCTGGTCTTGAACTCCTGACCTCGTGATCCACCTGCCTTGGCCTCTCAAAGTGCTGGGATTACAGGCAGGAGCCACCATGCCCAGCTGACTTTTTTTTGAGATAGAATCTCACTCTGTTGCCCAGGCTGGAGTGCAGTGGTGGGATCTTGGTTCACAGCAGCCTCTGCCTCCCAGGTTCATGTGATTCTCCAGCCTCACCCTCCCAAGTAGCTGGGACCACAGGTACCCCACCACCTTGCCCACCTCATTTTTGTGTTTTCAGTAGAGATGGGGTTTCCCTGTGTCGGCCAGGCTGGTCTCAAACTTCTGACCTCAAATGATCCGCCTGCCTCAGCCTTCCAAAGTGCTGGGATTACAGGTGTGAGCCACTGCATGCAGCCTAACTGAGTCTTTCTCACTGTTTTTTCTATAGTAAGAGGCTAGAAGGTTAAGTTTCATGGACCAGGACTTTATTTGTCCTGTGGTATATATTTCTAGCATTTATAATGGTGCCTGATATGTGGTGAGCATTGCAAAAAGAAATCGTTGAATGAATGAATGTTATTTTTGAATGGGAAGAAATGAGAACTTTTCTTTCAGTGAATGGAGTCAGTAAGAATTTCCAGATGTCTACCAATGAGTACCATACGCAAAAACGCAAAATTCAGCTTATTTAAAATGTAGCTCATTACAGTCCTCCCTGAGCACGCTGACTCTCCTTTTCTTTCCCCTTTCTTGACTAGTGCCATCATCGACTCCACTTTCTCCTTCACCTCCACCATTCGGTTCATCAGTCACTTTGCCTCATTTGTAAGTTTTTTTTTATTGCTGTCCCTTCCTTTGCTCTTCTCTTATTGTCTCTCCTCTGGCCTGTAGTGATCACCTTTAAAAACAGGTCTCTTTGTTCCTGGTTCTAAACTTCACACTGCCATCAGTTATTTTTCTGCAATCCAGGCTTGTTAATGATACCGTCCCTTTTTATGAGTTTACCACGATCTAAACCTTTCTCAGGATCTAATACAGGACCCTTGAAGTACTTATCCTCAAGTGATGTATCCAGCCACATTTCCCATCCCCTGCATTGCACTGTACCCTATACTGTAGTTACATGGAGATTCCCTCATGGAATTTTATGGTTCTGTGACTTTACTAGGGCCTTCTCTTCTGTCCGAAATTCTTTTCCTGGCTAATTCCTATGCATTTTTTAAAAGACACATCCTTCACATTTTTTAAAAGCCTTTTTAAAAGGCTTCACAATGTGAAGCCGTCCCTGACCCCAGTTCCCCTTCTCTAATAGAAGAAAACTATTTCATGGTGTGTGTTTCCTTAGGAAGTTGAACACATTTTTATTATATAGTTTATTAGGAGACATCAAAATTATTTATATTTGTATAGGGACCTATGGTGTGAAGTCCTCAGGGAAAACACTTTGATCTGTATCTGTGATTGGCATTGTAATTGGCACATGATAGTCATTCTGATATTATTGAGCAACTTAATAAGTAAACATGGATATTTGGCTTTAATATCATATTGACACCTTTGTTTTTTCCTTGCTGGGTCCTCTTACATGTTCGCCTCTAAGGGAGAGCAAGAGTCCGTGTCTGTCGTGCTCCCTGCTCTTTCCCCAGAACTTAGCATAAGTCCTGGCGTGTGCCAGATAAGTGTTTATATATTCATATGGTAAACGCTAAGTAAGTGCTTGTTGAATGAGTGAATAGTCTCGTCTTTCCTCTCTCCATCACAGCTACCTCCCCTCTTGTAAGAGGAAGAATAATTTTTTTTCTTCTCAATTTCCCTCTGGTACAACTATTGTTTTTCTTGGACTCAGATATTCAGTCTCAAGATAGAAGTTTTCGCATTTATAGCACTTTCAAGCAATTTATATTTAACTAAAAAGTTACTTCCTGTTTATGTTGTTTTGGAAGAATAAAATACCTTAGGGAATTTGTAAACAATTTTGATGCCTTTTTTTTTTTCAGCTGTAGCAGCTATGATGGAGTGAGCTGTTTCCTCAGTTTTCAGAATTTTTTTGTTGTTTTTTGAGACAGAGTCTCACTCTGTCGCTCAGGCTGGAGTGCAATGGCATGATCTCGGCTCACAGAAACCTCTGTCTTCTGGGTTCAAGCGATTCTCCTGCTTCAGCCTCCCAAGTAGCTGGGATTACAGGCACCTGCCACCACACCTAGCTAATTTTTTGTATTTTTGGTAGAGATGGGGGTTTCACCATGTTGGCTAGGCTGGTCTTGAACTCCTGACCTTGGGTGATCCGCCCACCTTGGCCTCCCAAAGTGCTGGGATTACAGATGTGAGCCACCGCACCTGGCTGTTTTCAGAAATTTTTTGATTCATATTAGTGGAACGTTTAATTTTACTGCTTTTTTATTTTTGTTGTTATTTTGGTTTTCTAGTGGATATTTGAAACCACGTAGTGGTAACAGATACCTGACATGGCCCATTTGTTGATTTGCTGGATTATTTAAATGTTTCTTCTTCTTTTTGAAATATGCCCTTTTAACTAAAATTAGATATTCTGTATAGACAGGAATGAAGTGTTAAGGATACTCTTTTTTTTTTTTTTTTTTTTTCCCCACACCCCTCCAAGGATACTCATTCTCTCAGTTCCCAGCATAGTACCAGGCACATGGTTGCTCTGCTCCATAAATTTTTGTTGACTCATGAAATCAAGGAATGAAACAACTAGCATGGAGATAAGTAGATTAGGGAATTATATAGAAGAATAAGGTAAATGAGACTATGTCTCTTTGACTTCTGTAATAGTCAAGAGAGCCTGAAATGTAAGTGTCTAATAAATACGTGTGTAATCTGAGTAGGTGTAACTCTCTGACTTCTCATGTGCTTTTTCAAGTTCTGATCATTGCTTATTAATATCTCCAATAACACAGGCAGTCTTCAACTTAGAAATAGGTTCTGTTTTTAAAATTTGTCAATTAAATTCACTTCAGTAGATTTTTGGGTAACAGCAAATATGTGGAAGCTATAAGCTAAATGTGCATGGGGAAGATATAAATACACCGGGACTGCCACCCTCAAGGGCAGAGGACAGCAGACTTAATTTGTACAGCGTGAGATAGTAAACATTTCAGGCTCTGCAGACCGCATCACCTCTGTCACAACCACGCTGTTGTGGGGTGAACACGCAGACAATAAGCAGATGTGGCTATGTTCCAGTAAAACTCTATTTACAAACACAGTTGCTCTACGAGGCAAATTTGGATCAAATTTTAATGCCCAATTAAAGACAGACTCCTAAGTGCTATCATTTTTCTGTTCATTCGTTCATTTATTCATCCATGTGCTACTTTCTTTATGGAGTTGCATGTTACTAGGCGAGGTTCTGAGGGTAAGTGCTATAGTGGATACAAAGATAAATCAAATATGCATTTTCTCCTCAAAGGATTTGACCAGAAACTAAACCTAGACTCCTAAACTGGGAACTCCCCAGCAGTGGAAGTCCTGTCTGATTCACTTTTGAGAATGACTTGTAGGGCCAAGCACAGAACGGGGTAGGTTACAGATACTTAGTAAATGTCTTTTCAAGGGTAAGAGAATGAAAGACTAAAGCATAGGTGTCATAGAGAGATATATGGATACAATGCTTGATTTCATAGGAATGATCCATTGTTTCTTGTTTGGAAAATCAGAGAAAACTTTGTGAAAAGTTAGTGAATGAGTTGAATGAGCTGAACATTGAGAAAAGGGAATGAAGAAAGGGAAGCATATGAGCTAAGTTAAAAAGATAAAATCTTAGGCAGAGGTAGGAAATTCACATGCTTAAGGGGGCCGGGCAGGTAGCACAAATGAGTGAGGGGATGACTGGATTAAATGGTATTGTATTGTGTGAGTGATGATTGTAGCAAAATGAGAGAGTACTTGCTTTTCTAAAGGAGGCAGATCATTGGGATAAACCATTATTACCAGACGTTTGAGTTTTCAAAAGAAACCAGAAAGGAAAAAACAAGTTTTCTAAAATGTGGGTTATATCAAGGAAGAAAAATAAGGAAAGGTGGGTTGGGTTACAACTGTAGATAACTCCAAATGGCAGAGTAAGGAATGTGGACCAAATTTGTAGGCAGTGAGTTTTGTAGGAGTTGTGTGATCAGTGGGGGCCTTCAGGAGAATGAAGCCCAGGGCATTGCTTAAGAAAGGTAGAAACTAAGCCTAGACTCCTAGCCTGGCAACTCCTCCGCAGCGGAGGTCCTGTAGAAGAGGACAAGCCCAGCTGAAAATGCACTGCAGTGGGTAGTACTCTGGGAGTATAGGGGAGGAGATGATAGCAGCAGTAATAGCAGTGAGAGCGGAAACGTTTTGTGCCGGGCTTATGCTAATGTCTCCAATGCGTGAATTCACTTAGTCTATAGAGTAACCCTAGGAGCTACAGATACTATGAATATTATAAAATCCCCTACTTACAGATGAATAAACTGAGGCTTAAAGCACTGAAGTAATTTGTGCAAGGTCACACATTTGAGAAGCAGGTGAATCCCAGAGGTACTCTGCTTTCTTGCCTCTGTGCTCCTAATCAGAATATTCTCTTTGTTTCTCTTTCCCCTTCAACTTTGCTAATTGTGTCACTCAAGTTCTAACATATAACTTATATAATATAAAACAAGGGAAATGTCATTCAAGGCATTGCTTTCATAGCTATTGGAGTTGTGGGAAAACAAAACAGGATGGTGAAGCAATCCAGAGACTGGGAACAGTGAGGAACCAATAGCGCTCCTAGGGCTTTAGGGCCAAAGGGAGGAGTTAGTGTTTTCAAAACCACTGTTAATTGAAACCGTGGATGTCTGTAGGGGGAGCTGGAGCCACTGCTGCTAAAGATGGAGAGGAAGGGGCGGTAATACCCTGGTTTCTTCCCTGTTTTCACTGTCCAGTCTCTCACCATTGCATCCCATTGGTCTGACTCTGCTGGGAGCCAGCTGACACAAGAGCCTGTAGGATGTAGCTATTCTAACAGAATAGAAAATAGCCAAGGAATTGATTGGTGAATGCAGATAGGCCTGGGACCAACACATCTGTTTTCAGTTGTAAAGTAATTTGAATTCCCCTTAGAAATTTGAAAGCAGCCTCCTAAAAGCAGTGTTAGAAAACACTTTTTGAAATATTACGTGTTCCCTTAACCCACAGAAGTCAGTTTAACCCACAGTGTAAGGGAAATAGAGTATTATTTTGTGGAATATCATTTGCACTGTCTTAAGTCCTCCGAATATTATTTCCATGCTATTAGAGATGAAATAAATACTGTTGCCAGGCGTGGTGGCTCATACTTGTAATCCTGGCACCTAGGGAGGCCAAGGTGAGCAGATTACTTGAGGCCAGGAGTTTTAGACCATCCTGGTCAATATGGTGGAAACCCCATCTCTACTAAAAAATACAAAAATTAGCTGGGTGTGGTGGCACATGCCTGTAGTCCCAGCTACTCAGGAGGCTGAGGCAGGAGAATCCCTTGAACCCAGGAGGTGGAGGCTACAGTGAGCCCAGATGGTGCAACTGTACTCTAGCCTGGGCGACAGAGCAAGACTCTGTCTCAACAACAGCAACAAAATGAAGTAAGTACTGTTAGCCTTCAAGACTGGGTAATTTATAAAGAAGAGAGATTTAATTGGCTCACAGTTCCATAGGTCGTACAGGAAGCGTGATGCCGGCATTTGCTCAGCATCTGGAGAGAACTTACAAAACTTGCAATTGTGGCAGAAGACAAAGTGGGAGCCACCACTTCACATGGCCAGAGCATGAGGAAGACAGAGGGCAGGTGCTGCATACTCCGGACAACCTGATCTAACATG